AGACTAGATTTGATCTCTCTCCCATAGGAGATTTTGAGAAAAAGAGTTCTAGAGAGAAGTGTCTCATCTTGGAAACTTGAGAAACGGTTTTTTGCCAAATTAAACTACTAAAACCTATTTTCATTAAATTCTGTAGTTTTCTTTCCATAGTATGTTCTTCTTTAACCAGACATATATAGAAATCTAGTTCCAAGGAAAATTGGTTTTTTTTCCTCCTAGGGCCCAAAAGAAAGTCTTTGTCGGTGTAGATCCATGTCACCTTTGCAGGACAACGTTATAGGGGGACTTACTCAACTTTGCACCCTAAACTTGTATTATTTTTTTTTTATTTTGCATCCTAAACTATAATATTAGACGCTTGCACCATAAAACTCTCAAGTTTACCCTATTTAAATCCAAGTAAATCTTATATATACTGTCATAGTTGAATGCACGACACATATATGAAATTTAATTTTCAAATTTAAATTTAAATTATGTGTGACAGCTCCACCTTCCCCTAAGGCGAACCAAAGGGTTCGGCGGACCGCCTACCCAACTCTCGCCGGGACTCAGTCACTCACTACAGTTCTCAAACAAATTACAATATACATCTCAAATATACATCAAATGTTCCACAAATTCACATATCATAAGTGAAGCGAATACTTCTCAATTGCACTACAAGCTAAAACCTCAAGAGATATAAGCAATACTAATTCCCGAATAAAACAAAGGTCCTCAATTCTCACATAAATACAAGTACAATTGCAGTCTCAAATATTACACAAGGTCGAACTAAAACTTCAACGGTATAGGAGATAATCCAACCATTCACATGGAGCACTTTAATATCAATGCTTCCGTCGCTTCAAGCCCTGTGGAGGGGAATAAAATAGTTTTGGGGTGAGCTAGAAGCTCAGCGAGTAACCAGTAAAAGCAGTCATCAAATCAATTTCCCAATAGTTCATTTCAATGATGTCATGAATCAGTAATCCAATGTACGTTCATTGCTCTCGTGAGCCAGTGAAATCATTGTACTTAAACAGCCAACGCTCAAATCGATCAGTTAACAGTGAAACAGTGATAGGGAGCTCTTTGGTGCTCAGATCAACAGTAAACAGTGGTGGAGACGTTGGTGTTCAGCACAAGACCTCCCAATAACTCATTGGAGCCAAAACATGTCATGAACTCACATGCAAGCACACATGCTATGCAATCGAGTAAATAATGCAAGAAACAGTTCATAAGTAGCTTTGGAAATAGTTTGGGGTCACTCACCAACCACGGCTCAGGAACCATCCATCATATATCATTGCCTTGCTCAAGTCCAAGCCCTAGATCACAAACTCAAAGCAATCAAACCCTTTCAAAGATCGGACAACATTTCTCCTTACTTTCTTCATTTGTCCAACCTACAATCAAAACCCATTCTCATAACAATAAACCACAATCACACATACGATTCAAAATCATAAAACACATCCAATTAGGCCACAATATCCTTCAATCAAAGCCAATTAAAAGCTTAAAAGCCTACCATTAGAAAACCCCCAAATTAAACCCTAGAAGCTGGAATTTCCGCACAAACCAGAAATTTTTCGCAAACAACCGCATCCAACGTATACAATCTCCATTTTATACCACAACAAGCTATCATTCCAAGACTAATGAACCATAATCATATAAAATCAGAAAAATACCCAATAAATCAGAAATTGGTCCAACTCTTCTTAAAATCATAAAATCATCCACAATACAACATATCTAACCTCCATAAACCACCAATTAACCATTATCAAAGCAAGAGAGACCTTTCTTATTCAACTTACCTCAAAACTCAAGAAAGCTAGCAACTTGGAGCTTCCCTTTCAAATCAACTCCATCAACCTCTTCACACTTCCATGGTGAGCCCTTGTATGGAGTAGGTTGAAAATCCAACGGTTAAATCTCAAGATTTGAGTGAAAATTGAAGTTAGAAAATGAAGAGCTTTCTTGGTTTTTCTCTCAAGATGCACGGCTGAACAAGGGAAGGAAATGAAGATATTTTGGGGCCAAAACAGTATAAAAAGAGAAGGAAACAGGCGGTCAAAGTTGGTGGCCGCCTGTGCCACGTCACAATCCGGCCGGTTCCTGGCCGGATTCCCGGCCGGATACAGGGCAGTAGCAGATCCAATTTTTTTTCAAATCCCTCAAGCAATCCGGCCAAGAACTGGCCGGATTTGGTACAAAACATTTTCAGCAAAAATTTTTCGTTTCTTTTCCTTTCGGGCGTCACACAATGATAATAGTGTATATATTATCACTATATTGAAAATTAATTCTTTTAATCCAATTAGTATTAATGTTTGCAAAATTAATTGGAGCTCCCTCAATGAGATACTCGAGGTGGACCCATGAGTCCCTAACAAGAGTGTGATACCAATATAAGAGCTTCCACCATTCTTCCGTCCATCAGATCCATGGAGCTAAGAAAGACATTGGGAGGTCTAAACCACTTGGAAGTAAGCAATTTTATAGATTGAACTGTAACAGTACCGTTGCTGGGAAAAAAGTAACGATCTCATCGGATCTTTTTCCAGAAGATAGAAACTTACACACCCAATTAGATTAGAAACACTCAGGAGACTAACGGCTAAATGACCCAGTTAAGAGTAATTTAAGAGGGATCCACAAGAAATCCACGTCCAATCAATTGGTAACTAAACAGGGTCCTATGACCTTAAACCCAGGATAATGATCTCATCAGATCAATCAAGTTAATCAACGACCAAGCTGTGGAGTGACAATTGGCCAAGGGCCCTTAGGTCTAAAGGATTAGATTGTAGGCGGGTACAAATAGACCGATTAAAGATGGGTAGGTAGAGCACGATGAAGCCCAAGACGCATGACTCATGATTGTTTTGGCCAGCTTTGGGTTGGAGAGCCCCATGGGAGGGGTCAAGATATCACATTTATCTCATTAATTTTGTTAATAGTATTAGTGATTGGGACCATACAAGTCAATGATACTGTACTAAAAGTGATCAAAAAAAATCAAGAGATTACAGTTAAAACAAAATGATACATTGTCATTAATCTACACTGTCCTTTACCTCATTAATTTTGCTAATATTGTTATTAATTGGGCTTAAATAAAATAAACTTGAGAGTTTAAGTCGCAAAGTATCTAAAATTGAGAATTGAGAACGTAAAGTGTTGAAAATTAAAATTTAGGTTATAAAGTAAAGAAATGGCAATAGTCCTTACACAATCTTCGCGCCTAATCCACTCCCCCAATTTCAGCTTGGATTTCATTAACACCTAGTGATCCAAGTAAAAGATAAATCCTAAATGCATTAAAATAAGAACATTTTAATAGAAACTTTTACATTTCCCAGCCTTCTTCAGGAGCATGTGCAACTGATAGCGTCTTCTTCTTCTTGGTGGAGATTATAGATGCCTTCCCATTGATTGTTAGCATATGAACAACTTAATATGTAGGAATGAATCCACTCAAATAACAAAGAAACGAAGCCAATCTCAGACAAGATAAATATTGGCAGTGGAAATCATACTAACAAAGCGACGTAGCACAAACTTGAAAGAAACAGCACAAGGCTATGGGAGGCAACAATCAAAAAAAATTTTTTTTTTTTTTAAAATTTCATAGAGCTTTTAATCTCATACGTGTGATGTAGTCCTACACATATTTATTTCGATTAGGGTTCTCTGATGGGAGTATTTTTCAAAAACTAGTTTTTCAAATGCAATAAAAATTTTTAAAAAGTACTCTAAAAGGTAATCTAAAAATTAGTTTAAAATTTTAAAAAATATCTCAAAATATATTTTAGAAACTCTTCTACTCTTAGATATCCCAAAATATTTTCTAAAAATATCCCAAAATATGCTTTAAAAACTCTGTTACAGCAAAATTTTTCAAAAACACCTCTAAAAACAGCTAATCCAAACGGAGTGTTAAAAAATGGTGGCTCCAATTTTGATGTGTTAAAAAATTTTATTGTATATTTTTTCATCTTGTTATGTTAGTAATTTTTTTTTTTTTGTTTGGAAGAAACATAAGTGAATTTCATTTAAGATAAATCTGCAAGTGCAGCTACAGGTACTTCTTCAGGGAAGTTTACCAACCAGACGTTACAGCCTTCCATAGATAATGACAATTTAGACATCATATGGGCAGGTACATTGTTAAGTCTCCTCACATGAGAAACTTTTACAGAAGCAAATTCATCTAACGTTGATCTAATACCGTGAATGATGTTACCAATTAAGGACATACCAGTTTCCTTCTTGTGTTTGTATATATAATTGTTATATTAGTATCCACATTCCGTAAGTTAGTGTTTGCACTGCATTCTTCTGTTATCACTAGCTGTAATAGCAGGATACCTGATCCTATTTATTGATAGCCTAAGTTAATCAAAAGTCAAAATCGACTAATTAGTCTAGATCACTTTAGTCACAAGCTAAACTATACAATTGTTTGGCCAGCGATTATTTGTACAAATTTATTTATTTGTATCATAAACATATTTTTTTAATTATTTTTAATCTTATATACATCAGATAAAAAAAGTACGATAGTATTTCTTTTTTAAAAAATTATTCAAAATAATCTTATATTAACCGATTCACAAACTCATCAATCAAATATACATGAATTATATGCTAGCTAAGCTTTAGACCAAGTATGAACGACACTTAGTTAAGTAATTAAAAATGAAAACTTGGTTTACTATTTCTACATTTTGCAGAGCTCTTTAATAAAATATTTAAAAATTAATCCCTGTTTATTGATTAAACTTACAAGTGCATCCTTTTCTTTTCTTTTTTCCCCATAAACAAAAGCTTAGGTCGAACAATTAAAACTAAAAGTAGAGAGACTAAATTGGTTTCAGTGAAAAACTATGAGGACTAATTGGGCTATTTCCCTTATCAATTTTTTTTTGTTTTTTTGAGGGAATTCCTTATCAAATTTCATTTGAGGTGTGTAAACTGACAAAATCCTAATTTCAGGGCCTTCTCTTATCTTCAGCAAAAAATAAAACAGATGGCAAAGTCCAAAATTGCTTCCATTAGCAACCGCTTGCTCCCCAGTTCCCATATGATCCTTAATTGATCTCCAAGCCAATAAACTATTATGGTTTCTGTACCACAACCACCATTTTTTTCTCCACTCAAATCCATCAGTATTAGTGCCTCTCCTGCTCAAAAATTGCAATACAAAAGCATAATTTTAGCATTACCATCCAAGAACCTTAAAGTTTCATCCTCTATAGGTCCTTCCAATGCAGAACCATTGTCACCAAATTCATCAGAAAAGCCCTTAGAAACTGACCAGTCTGAGGGTGAGACTGACCCTGTGAAACTTGCATTTGCTAAGGCTAAGGCATATAAGAAAACAAAACAATCTAGCCCTACTCCAGAAATTGTTCAGAACCCTGTTCAAGAATCTGCTGGAAGAGGTGAAAAGAGTGAGGAATTGAAGCTGGAACTGCCAAAGTTGGAAGCTTTGAAGCCAGAAGATAAGGGCAATGGGAAGGAGGAGGTTCCATTGACTCTTAAATTGGCATTTGAGAAAGCAAAAGAGTATAGGAAGAATAAAAGTGCTGTGGAGGAAAGTCGAGTTGTGAAAGGGAGTGAGCAAAATTCAGGTATGGTTACTGGGATTTTTGTGTTTGTTTGTTGAGCTATTGTAAATTCGTGTTTCAGATAATTCTTCAGTGGTTCTCTAATATGTAGTTTTATGAATTTTCTCTTTTATTACATCTGTGTATCATGTGATTATCATTATATTAAACTTGTTTCTTGATGAAAACAGCATGTTAGTACTTATGCACTATTTCTAGTAAAGCATTATAATTGTTTGTAAATACGTGGATTTGTGTCTTGATCAGGGAAATACCCAATTTGTCAATTAATTTTAAGATAAAAGAACTTTTTTTTTCCCAATTTGAGTGTTGTATGTTATTGTGAATACCTCCAGGCGTCTTTTTGCTTGGAACTTGTAGTAAAACAGTTTGAAGTGGTTCTGGACTAAGAAGTTTTCGTTTGAATTGGACCTTAGGGGTTAAGATAGGAAATGAGGGAAGTCTTGGTGGTTCAGTATTGAGAAAGGATGATGATAAGAAGGAAGAGTTGAAGATTTCGAGTATTGATTTTGTGGGGCTTGACTTCTCGGAGAAGAAGAGCACCAGGGCTTTGCCAGCTGGGCTGGTTCCAGCTGTGGACGCATTTCCTGAGGAGGACTTGCCTGAGGTGGAGATACTTATTGGAGATGCTAGCAAGTTTGGAGCTGGAGCAGCAGCACCACAGCCAATTCAGGAAGAGGATGTGGATGTTTATAAACCCCAGGTATCCACTTGGGGAGTTTTTCCTAGACCGAGCAATATCTCAAAAACTGTAAGCTCCCTCACCTATTTGATTATCTGTTAGAATGCTCATTATGATTAAATCCTCATAAAAAGTAGATTCTTGAGATAAGACCAAGTTCTGAATATGAATTTGGTGCGATTTCTGAACATATTTTACGAAAACTAATGTCAAGGCATGTTCTAACATAAACTGAATAATTAACCCCCCCCCCCTTCCCAGGCCTCCAGGATTTTAGTGTATACTTAAAAAAAAGAAGAATGAGATGTCTGTTTTCAAGCAGAGTGATGGACCGTACTTTTGTATCTATCCATAGTTATTGAATAAAAGCTCGGTTTTTTTGCTTTCTTTACTGATTAATATTACCACAGGTCAAAATGGAAAACCATCAAGCATCTGACTCCCTGGCTGCTCTTGCTGTGAATTATAGTTACTACATCTTTTCAGCAATAAAAAACAAAAGTTAACATGCATTATATTGGGCTTCTTGATTTCTCATTTATCCTAATTATTACCCCAAGCTATATACAAGGACATGAGAAATTTTGGAAAAAGCGTCATAATTGTCCTTGTCATTTTGAAGTTCGCTGTTGTCCAATGTTACTATGGTAATTTTTATCTTGATCCTCTCCACTTTATTTCGAACTGTAAGACTTTGCCAAAACATGTTGTTAAAAAATATATAGAGGTCTGCAATATAATTCTTCTCTATTGTTTCACTGGTGAAGAAACATTACCCCATTTACAATCCTTTGAATGGCATGGTTAGATGCGCTTGTGAGTTTTTATAGTTGCCAATGCTCTTCATTTTTAATCCTTTTCCATGATGATTCTTTCTTGCTTAAAAACTATCTTAACATAGACTTTAGATGTTGGTAGTACAACTATTGATGGTGGTTTTGATTGGTGAAGTATCCCTACACTATTGCTAAGTCCTTTTAGTGACATGGTACAAATTTGTAATAAGAATGGTAAAAAGGGATGTTCCTCTGGAAATTCCATTCACTTTTAAGTTTTTAAAGAATAATTATTGGGTTTCCGTGCTTTTGATGAGTCTCCTGGACTGTTTAAGCCATTTTACTTGTCTTCTATAAGGTTTCTGGTTGATCCCTCATCCTTCTTAAGCTAAAAGCATTTTGTGAGACATCTAAAACTGAGCTTCACTTTGTATTGATCAGGTCTCTAGTAGGTACAGTTGTCATTCATCTATTAATACAATTGATGTTTCACCACCGCAATTATCAAACTATAAGCACTTGTTTGAGCTTACATGATTGGATTCTCTCTGGAACTATGGTTATGCCTTTACTTATTCACTTGACTTCAGTATGGTGGTGGAAGAAATATACGCCCTGGGGAAGTACTTGAAACAGCTGCTGATCGAGCTACTAAAGAAGCACGGACAAAACAGCTGCTTGCTGCCTATGAGAGAAAAATTGGATTGAGCATTCATCCAAAGCTGAAATCTGAATGTGATCAGGCATGTTTCAAGTGCACGGTATCTTGATTGACAGAGTTATGAAATAATCTTTTGCTATTTCCACTTCTATTAGACTCTGCAACCTGGGTATATTAAGTGTCAGGATATTATTCTACAATTGAGGTTGGTAATTTCTTCAGTAATTTATAAAAAATTTTAGCTGCAACTGTTTGTCTCATAGTGTTTTTGATGTATTAGCAATACTCTTGGAAACTTTTTCTTCCTATTTGTTATTGTTTAAATTACAATATTGTCAATAATCTACCTAGAATGGTTTGCAATAAATAGTTTATTGTGTGGTGACAGTTTAGCTCCATGCCTCATATTACATAGTAAACTAGTACAAAAAGGATAAAGCTCATACACCTTGTCTGTGTTCTGGTTAGTATGGTACAAATTTCCATGTATTTTGTGCTGTATTTGAATTAATATTAACACAACATACTTTTATCGAGCGGGTTTATGGTGTAGCTCGATTGCCGATTAATAATCTTTATAATTTAACTCCATTTGGGCATTTGCAGTCAGTCATTGAGGCATTCTCGAGATGCTATAATTAGCATGATTTATAATTTTTGTTTTGATTTATTTACATGGAATCAGTTGCGAGGTAAATTTATTTTTATATACTAACAATTATTATTTTTTTGTAGCTATTCTTGGTGTGGTGATTGAGGTGTTCCCATTGCATGTTTTTTTCTTCGGGGGCAGATACATGCAAGTTCAGGAGTTTCTATTGATGAATGAAGAGTATGCATTTTTTTTGCAATATTTTAATATGTAATATGTTGGTTTTTGACAAAATTTTTTAATAGAATGATGCCAGTGGTATTTGCGATCTGGGAAGAATTTATTGATACGGATGAAGCATATCTTGTGCAAATCACACATGAGCATCCTATTGTACTGATTTGCAGGCCTAAAATTAGCCATTTTCATAGTAATAGATATCTAAAATGATTTGCTAAATAACAGAATTATCGTTCTTATTTTTTGTTTGATGCATTTTTGTTTTTTTTAGGTCTTTCCTTGGCTACAGAAAGGAGGACTATTATCATGTATGATGTGGGCATTCCTGAGGCTGATGAATTGAGGAGCTGGTACGAGGGACTCGCAGAGGATGGACCAAATTGATGCATTGTGATAACTTTAGTGGTTGTGTTTATTTTTAGTAGGCTAAGATGTTGTTGACTTAGTGTGTTGCTGGTGCATGGCAATGAGTTTTATGGTTTGTTGTAAAATAGCTTCTAAATTGTTTACGTAGGTTTGCAGTTGGCTGTGGAGAGGAAGATTGTCTATAAAGATGGTTTTTGTTTGTCTATTATGTTAGTTATGTATTAGTTTGTACTTGGTGTGAACAAAGTTTAGGTGTGATGATGAAGTACAGTTGTACTATTTTCTTTTGTATTAATGATCTAATTTGTTGGGATGTATGTTTTTTGCTCAATTGTGTTTTGCCTTCTAAGATGATTTGCTGCTTAAAAAATTAATGGTTATATTGCTATACATGTTACAAAATCATTTGAAATTAGTTTAATATTTTTGATTGAGTATTCAATGCTTGTGAAAGGAAGGCTAAACAATAATGTGTATAGTGACCAAGAATGTTAATAGTTGGAGGCAGTATGCAAGTCAGCTAGCAAGCATATTTAGTTACTAAAATATGAATCTTAGTAAAGATAGAGCAAGGCATGAATAAAAGTGATATAAGAGGAGCAAAGGATAATAGTTTTGATGTAGATTTCATAGAACTAATAAACGTATTTGTCTCCTGATGTCAAAACAATTAATACAAAGCTATCAAAGGGACTCATCGCTGAAAGTAGAAGACAAATTAGTGAGGAAGGACGCAGAGTTATTAAGTTAGACTTCTTAACAGTATTTGGTGGGATTTAAAAGTAGTATGTAGATAATTGATCGAAGTAGCATGCAAAAGAGATTTTATTTGCATAGGTTTTTGTAGAGCAAAACCCGAGTTATCTTTGTGTTTGTTTAGTGCATTGGTGATATGTTACTTATGTCTTTTGTCGCTTTGTTGTAGTGTTAGCAGGCTGGATTATCTGGCATTTTTCAAACTGATGCAAGTCAGTGCTTTCTGCACATGATGAAGATTTAGAATGCTTTAAAATATTGTCTGCTTTGACTGAGGATGATGTGCATTCATCTGTTAAAGGGCGATTGTGTGATAATGAGGTTCTAGATGTAGAAGAGTCTAGCAGCAGATGTCGATCTGTTGCTGCCTGTGCTAGGATAGGCAGATAGGCAAGGATGATGTATCGTGGTGCTTGCGGAATGTCTGACTGCCTAGCAGTGTTTCAAACATGGATGTAATATTGTTGGTTTTGGAGTCTTTTGTTGACGGCATGTACATCAATAGCTCGTTGCTGTGGAGCATATCAGGTTTGAATCGAACAGGTTAGTTGATGCTTATGAAATTAAAGTGAGGATAGTTTATGAAAGAATTGTACCTCTTTTTGCATGTCAATTATGGTCTGTGCAGAGCTTCCAAGCAATGATTGAGTGTATTCATCCTCAATTGTTGCAGTCAGGATTGATGTCCCATCAAATAGCTGTCTTTCAAAATGTAGTCTGCATAATTTAAAGTTATGAAGAAAATAGTTGGTCTATATGTACACATGGATTGATGAAATGATAAAATTTTGCTGTGTTTATGGTTATATAAGCAGATAATGTGCATTTTTTCTATTCATATTGTGGATGGGTAAAAGAAAGATATATTGCTATACCTTGGTAGTGGTTTAGGGTGCGCAATATGGCAGAAATTACAGGTGAAATGTCTCTTAATGGCTGCACTAGTGGGTCTCATACATGCTGTGAGGATTCGAAAAACTATTATTTTTAAATCTCTATTTTTGGCTAAATCAATTATTTATTTGGATTTTTGCCACGAATAATATTTTCTAATCTTATTAGACCTAAGTACATGGTATTATAGTTTCGATATATTTTTAAAGTGTCTCGTTTCAAAAATTATTTTTCTTAGAAGCTTGTTTAGTGAAAAAGTGAAAACGCGTTTGGAAAATTTTAACCGATTGAGAGTACAATTAGTTTGGAAAATTGGAGACTTGTACAATGGTCCTAAAATAGGTAATTTTATGTTTAAGTACTCAAGTGATAGTTAGTAGTACAATCGTTATAGGAATTTTTCGAAGGTTTCGCGTTATCGCGCTTAAATTAGTGGTACGCGTTTTCACACACGCGATTTTAATTGAGGGACTTTAGACCCTTATTTTGGGACAATTAAGAGTTAATAATATTTGTATGAATATAAGTATTCTAGAGGTTTAGTGCACTAGTGAAACGAACGCGAGAGGAATTGAGCACGAAACGCGCGCGCACTACACTAATTAAAGTTGACTTTTGTACACACAAGCTACCATTCATTAAGCTTCTCTAAGAAGCTTCAAAAAAAAAAATCAATTTCCCTCTCTCTCTTCCTCACCAAAAACTGCCGGCCACCACCCTCCTCTCTCAAGACTCCATTGCTCTTCATTTCTTCTTCACAAAACCTCACAAAAAATCACCCAATTCACACAAAAATTGGAGAACACTTAACTCTACAATAGAGAATCATCTTAAGCTATAAAGGAAGGGAGCTTTCACGGTTTTTCTTGGACAAAAGGGGGGCCGAAATTTCTGGTCTTTGCATATCAAGGAGGTACATAATGAACAACTCATAGAATCTTATCTTGTGGAAGTTATATTGCATGATTAAGCTCTAGTATGCCATTGGTTAACTTGTTTATGGTGTAAAATGAAATGGGTGGGCTCTATGAACTCGTACCTTTGTCTTGAGGGCTGATCTCATGCTTGATGATGGATTTAATGTTGGTTTAGTGCTCAAAATGGTAGATTAATAGTGTATTATTAGTATAAATTTCAAGGAGTGCATGGGGTAAAAAGTTCTGAATTCTGCCCCTGCTTTGAACGTACCTATTTTTGCAGAATTTTGGGGATTTAATGGCTGGTATATGATATTTATATGTTGTATAGATGGTGTATAAAATTACATTGAAAAATATTGAGGTTTGGTTGGTCAAATGGATTAATTTCGTGAAGCTATTAAATCTGGAAAACTGTTCCCGTAATGCTCAGACAGCTCGCTTGTTTCGTCCATAACTCTGTACTCCGATGTCGAAATCGAATGCCGTCAGTGGAATTTGAAACTAGACATTCCCAGCTTTCCAACGGTATAAAATACAACCCCAGATTCCATCCGAGCAGCCTGTACCAACCATTTAAAGGTGACTGTTCTGTTTCTCTGTTTTCCTGGAACGAAGTTCAGAAGCTTCAACTTGAGGCTCGAATTTGAGCTAGTTGTGTGCTGAATTTCAAAATGATTTCTTCTGAGAAATTGAAGCTTTACGAATGTGTTTTCCAATTCCACCAACCATTCTCAATTCAGAGTTGAATTGAGTGATTTGTGAACCAAATACGAAACCTGCCCTGTTCTAGAAAACCCTAAATTCTGGGCAGATTTGATATTTGACTTTGTGTGAACTTGTCAATTGAATTTCCTGGAGATAAACACATACCAAATGTACCATGAATGTTCCTTAGGCTTTGCCTACACAAATGAACCAAGTTTGTAGGATTTTCTGGGCCAAATGTTGGAAATGAAGAACAAAAAACTCAAGGCAGTTTTGCCTTAGGGATTTTTCAAAACTTTAGTTGGTTGGTTGACTACCTTTCCGAAAGCATTTTTCCATAAATTTTGATAAAGGGATACCCTTTATATAGGATTACTATACTATCAAATTTTGTACCAATTCAAGTCCATTTCGATATCTAACTAAAGTCCCAAAGTCGGAAACTCAAATCTGGAAATTTGTTCAACAGTTTCGAATTTTCCCAAACTTTGAGCTACCGTATCTCGGTACTCGAAACTCCGATTCTTGATCCGCTTGTGCTGTTATAAACCTTATTTGCATCTTTAATTGAGTTACAAATTTTAGAGGCTGGTTCGGAACGTGTGAATTTTACCGGATTTCCAAAGTTAGCGAAAAACCAACCCCGACACAACCTTGAATGCCCGGAAACAATAACTTTGAGCTCATTTTTGAGTATCTTCCCTTTAGAATCATGGAAAAGTGCCTTCTAAGAACTTTTAGTACTTTCAAAGAGGTTTCCAACGGCACCAAATTTTCCAATTTTTGACATGAAGAATGTGAGATACGATTTTTCAAAGTATCGTATCAAACCTGAAGTTTTTCCAAATTCCAAGGGAAGGGAGTTTTCAAGTACTACTTATTCCTTCAATATTTCTTGAACATTTTATACTTGATTTCCCAAAATGAAAATTCGATTACCCGTGTACTTTAAGAAACTCCATTTAAACCTCGATTTACGAGTAATTGAGATTCGTTTTCATGAAATTTCCTTAGATTGTACTAGTGTACAATCTTCCTTGATAATTGGGATATATGAGTGATACTTCACTATTATTTGCTCAGGCGCACACGAGGACCCTCAAGAGGATCCTACGGTGAATGCTTAAATTTCGGTTGAGACTACTTACTACTTGGTGAGTGTCAAGTGCATGTTTACTTGAACTCCTGTGAACTTGATGCATGCTTGTCTTGCTTAATCTACCTGGTTTTGATAAAATGGAGTCGAGTGTGTACTTTATCACACTCGTACTCATTTGAAATAATTGATACATGCTTGGCCTGGCTTGCTAGACTTACATATCCTGAATTACATACTTGGACCTGTCAAATACTTATATACATGACTTGGTATGCTATGAGTGCATAAGTCGTTGGAGTGAATCTTCTCGACATTTACATGTACATGGGGGACGTCCAAACTCATAGGCCAACCTTGGAACTCGAGTCGGCATGGGCTTGGTCGGGAACCTCGGTGAGCCATGAGATTCACATGATAAGGTTGATCTATTGAGAGATCTTGCTTGGCATACTCGTGGAGTATCGCCTTATAAATGTCGTGCGGGCCCGGAACGGTGTACGGTGGACGGATGGGAAGTTAGTGGAGTTCTACGGATTGAAAATACCGACCCGATTGACGGAGTGTCATCGCGGGGAGGTATACGAATGTCATCGACACAGCAAGTGGAACTTAGCTCCTGAGACCTACTATATCCTTGAATTATTTCTGTTTACTTTCACTGGCTTTATTAATTATTTGTAATTATCTCTTAAACTGTTATTTGGGACTATTATCTGGACTATGTGCTTGCATGTGTGTTCTTGGCCTCACGAGCGTTTTGCTCACCCTGTAGATTTATTTTCCTTAACAGGATTGAACTCGGAGATGTATTGGAGAAACCCTCCTGATGTACTTTTGTTTAGGATTTCTATTATATTTTGGCGATGCCCTTGGTTTTGGGTTGTACTTTTGGAATCGAAATGTAACATTTGGGGCGTGATGTATATTTGAGATTTATGATGTACTTTGAACACCCGA